CTAGACCCTTCTTCAGAAAAAGGGTCTAGACCCGAAACGTCAGCTTTTCTGCTCCTCTGATGCTGCTTGGCCTGCTGTGTTCATCCAGCTCTACACCTTGTTATCTCAGATTCTCCAGCATCGGCAGTTCCTACTATCCCTCTAAACCTATACAATATTCATATAACCTTAAAAGTTCGGAACTGACGGGATTCTTCGTTTCGACTTTGTGCTGTCAGACAATGTGTAAAGCCCCGGGGAAGTTGTTAGAGTAGCAGCAATCCAACTGTCTGTGAGGAAGGGAAGAGCCTTCAGGTCCTGTTTGTTAAATCCAGTCCCTCTTGAATGAGCGCCACAGATGGGAAAGGTAATAAAGCCAGACAATGCTGGAAAGACTCAGCAGGGCCAGACAGCATTGTGAAGAGAGATCTCCGTGTTGTTTCCGGGGATGTGTCTGCTTCCTCCCTGTCTGCCGAACATTCTCACTGCAAACCCGCCCGTCATAACTCATGCCGTCCCTCACCCTCTGACATGGCGAGAAATACAAATTATATATTTGAACCACACAAGGTAATCGCCCTGAGTGCAGCTCTTGTTACAATGACACAACATTGGTAGTTTACAAGGCACCAATATTGAAAGAAAAATGAAGGTATTTGTTCAATCGCTAAGGTAGCCCTTCGGCTAATGGATTTGTCATTTTAGCAGCAGCAGCGATAGAGACATTTTAATTACGTCCCAGTCCACCAGAACATTGCTCAGTGATCTCTCTCCCTCAGGACTCGGACAGCCTGGAGTGCCGACGTCGGGCAGAGGTAGTAGGAGCAGGGTTACATTGAGATGGTGACCACAAGGACTGCTCACTCCCCGTTCTCCACCCCTTAACATCTTAACTGCTAGAAAGCAGAGACTCCGCGCCATGTGTTAAAGGGAAACCGCCTTCCGACGAGAGGAAAGTTATGACCAAAATCTCCTTCCGGCTGTTTCACGCGATGACACATTTTTTTTAAAAAAGCATCAAACCAATCAGCGTCTTAATTCTTGCACACATTAGTCTGAACCAACCAGTTTCTCTCAATTTCTGAATATATAATCCCGATCCCATAAGTGCACGTCCCCTTTTCTCGCCCCCCATGACTCATTCGAAGCGGGCACAGACTTGATGGGCGGAACGGCCTCCATCTCTGTTGTGAATCCTTTCATGAATGTACAATTCTCAGTCTTCCATAAACAGAGCGGATCCCGCCCGACAAAAAGTCCACTCTATGTAAGCCTGCAAGGGGAAGGTTAGAGCCTTTGTGCCACAGTGGTAATGTTCCCATCTCTGGGCCAGAAGATCCGGGTTTGAGACTCCCTGCCTTAGACGTATTACAACGTGTTTGAACAAGCTGATTAAAAATATTTGCACGAGAAAGGTGACTATTTTGTTTCACAAGGACATTTTTCGTTTATTCTGCGCGAGTGTCCGATAACAAGTATAATTTGAATGGAATATCATACCTCATTGTCCACACGGACAATAGATTTCTCTCTTATCTGCCACTTTGACAACCAGCCCGAAAACAATTTGCAAATTTGCAGGTCGTAGCCGTGAGTGCCTGGTTAGATGCAGCTATAAATCTCGGATAATAATTAACCTCTTGGCCGTGCCGTTGAACAATGTGGGGCTTCAAGAGTTCTCAGCTTCTGTTAAAACAACCCTTGTATATTTCATTAAACGCGCAAGATCGTTGTTGTCTCAGCACCTCATTTTTGGATAGGAAGATGGGTTAGAGTGCCAATAATATCTTTTCGCTACTTTTGTCGGTGAATTTATGTAGCACTTTATCGAGACTTTCTTAGAATGAACTGCTTCACTAATCATCGTTACGTAGGCGAATTTAACAGCATATTTATTAACATAGTCTGGGTGAATGCTTGATAATTCAAAATCTATTCATCTTGACATTGCAACAGGCTTGAAAGGGGAAACCATTCAGCCCTGGAGTCCCATTTTATCCTTCAATCAAATCATGTTGCACAGTCGAGAGTGAAGGAGGTTATCTAAGATAACAATGAGATTGGGCCAGTGGGCTGAGGAGTGGAAGATGAAGTTTAATTAAGATATATTGCATCTTTGTAAAGCAAACAAGGGCAGGACTTACACAGTTAATGGTAGGGGCCTCTGTAGTGTTGTCCAACAGAGCCCTAGGGGTTTAGGTACATAGTTCTTTGAAATTTGCATCACAGGCAGATATGGTGATTAAGAAGGTGTTTAGCACCCTTGCCTTCATTGCTCAGACCTTCCAGTATAGGAGTTGGGATGTCATGTTGAGGTTGTACAGAATGTTGGTGAGGCCACTTTTGGAGCACTGTGTGTACTGCTGCTCTCCCTGCCACAGGAAGGAAATTATTAAATTGGAGAGGGTTCAGAAAAAAATTACCAGGCTGTTGCCAGGACTGGAGGGTTTGGATTCTAAGGAGAGGTTTGATAGGCTGGGACTTTTTTCACTGTAGTGAAGGAGGTTGAGAGGCGACCTTGTAAATGTTTATAAAATCATGAGGGGCATTGAGAAGGTGAATAGCAAAGGTCTTTTCCTGAGGGTTGGGGGGTCCAAAACTGGAGGGCACAGGCTTAACGTGAAAGGAATAAACATTTAAACAGGACCCGAGAGACAACTTTTTCGTACAAATGTAGGTTCGTGTGTGGAATGAACTGCTAGAGGAAGTGGTGGATGCAGGTACAGTTACAGCATTTAAAAGACATTTGGACTAGTACATGAATAGGAAATGTTTAGAGGGATATGGGCCAAACGCAGGCAAATGGGACTAGATCAATTTGGGAAACTTGATCGGTGTGGACTATTTGGCCTGAATGGTTTGTTTCCATGCTATATGACTCCATGACTGATTCTTGCTTTTAATTCCTGTCCCCACCCCATCGCTCCATATCGATTTATACCATTACCTAACAAAAAAAATGTTGGATTCAGTTTTCAATTTTTCAATGGACTTCCAGGCTTTCAGAGGGCACAGTTCTAGATTTTCACCACCTTGTATGTGAAGAAGTGCTTCCTGAATCACCCCTGAATGGTTCAGTTTTAATTTTAAGGTCATACTCTTTGTTCTGGGCTCTGCTCCCCACAGAAGTAAGTGTTCACCTCTGCCTGCCTTATCTTAAACACTTCAGTTTAGTTCATCAGTCCTTTATTTTCTATCATCAAGGGAATACATGTCGAGTTTCTGCAAACTGTCCACATCATTTAAACTCTTCAGGCCCAGTATTATTCTAGTGAATCTACACTGCCAAAACCGACAAAGTATTCCTGAGGTATGGTGCCTTGACTAGCATTCATCCATTTTGGTGTCATCCCTGTCTTTCTGTGCAGCTACAACATTTACTAGCACATGACAACATTTCAAATTATGAAAGATGTTGTGGATGAAGTGCTTTGGGGTGTGTTGAGGATGTGACAATAACTTAAACTGTTTGTCTATTTTCCAATGAGTTGTATTGCCCAATCACAGGTTGGTTTCAGTCTATTACAAGTGGCTCAGTTTCAATATGTTGCTGAGTAACACAGAGAGCTGCATGCACATGAACAGGATGACACATGAAAAGATTACTCAGCCCTGACATG